ACATTTTAAATATGTCATGTAGTTTCTGATATTGTTTGCTTGTTTTAAAAGGGTTTAAGAACTATTATGAACTTTAAAAAAGCTTACCATTGGTTTGCACACGAATAAAGTCAATATGGGGCATTAATTCTTGTACTATACGCAAACACATACACACAGAGAAACAAAATCAAATTCCTGGATGTGTAAAATAGATAATGGAACATTTTGGTGTGGAATAATCTTGGTATATTCACTTGCGGCATTTGTTATCCCATGTTATCCATCATAGATGATCTACACTGTGTTAAGTGTTCATTTATTATTTAACTTGAAAGGATAAGATGTTAAAACAAATGCCTCAGTTTCAATTTATAGTATATTGTGCTGGCTTTACCAATAATTTTTTGCAGTCTTTTGCTGTACTGTACAATGCTGTATGTATAAATTGAAGGACCTGAAACAAATGGTATAAGGAACTTTTGTAAATGAGACCTAAAATCTTTAATGGTTAATAGGATGAATGGGAAAGTATTTTTGGAAGAATTCTATTTTGCTGGAGACTATTTAATTACTCTTTTTGTCTAAACACAAGGTTTTTTTCTTTTTTTTTCTTTTTGTAAAGTGAATTGTTCTGCATGCATAATGAACCGTTTACAGTGTATTTAAGAAAGGGAAAGCTGTGCCTTTTTAGCATCATATCTAATTTACTATCTCACAATGTCTGTTGTAAATAACCACCCATAATTGTTTCCAGTTGTTCTTTTTTCCGTCCAACTTCCTCAGCATTTGCCTACTACTTTTTACATCCTTTGAGCACAATGAGTCTGCTTCAGGCCTCTCGCTGTGTTTGCAGCTTTATACACATTTTATCTAACGACAAATTTCAAAGGACAGAATCCACCAAGACATTGTTCTCTACGTGTTCCATTGAAGCTAATAAAGCTGTGGGGCTAATATGGTTCCCATTTCAGTGGAGCCTATTTAAGTCAGCTATATGATGAATTGTGCCCATTTTTTTTTAAAAGATTGGCATCCCAGGATCAAATGAGATTCTGCTACCCAACCTGTTCAATCTGAAGGCCCTGGTTCTACACACAGGCAAACCTAAACAAAACCCTCATACACATTGCCCTCCAAGCAAGTCTCATTAATAGTACAAAGACCTTCAGAGTATAGTGATCTACTCATTTTGGGGTTTTATTTTGGGGTTTATATCAAAATTGTGGCTAAAGAACTGGGATCAATGTATATTGCCAAAAATGTGGACAATAAATCTGAATATAAAAGTGGAAATAAAAATTATCCTACTTCCTAGACACATTTGGAATGATACAAGAATAGGTGCTATTGACTCTCCTGATTTTTAGGTCAGTACCTCAGTAACTGTGTATAGAATTGAAACCTAATTTAGTACAAAATATAGTGCTATTCTTAAAATGAGCCCGAAAATATAGTGTTTTTTTTTTAATCCATTCAATCATGTCCAATTCTCAGAGATTGCCTGGACAAGACTGCAGTTTTTTTGGCAAGATTTTTCAGAAGTGGTTTGCCATTGCCTCCTTCCTAGGGCTGAGAGAAAGTGACTGGCCCAAGGTTACCCAGCTGGCTACAAACTTTCAAAATCTGGATCTCCTTTAAAACTATATTACTGGCAGACTGTCTTTTTTAGGGTGATCATCATTATGATATATCATATGAATAATTTAAATATGGAGCATAATTATTAAAACAAAACTTATAATTCATATTACATACAATAATTGTCAGTTATCTTTCTCTAAACCAATGTCTAGATAGCTTCTTTAATTTGAGAAAAATAAAGGATCTCTTAGGCTGAAATCCTATGTACAATTATTTGAGAATACGTCCCAGTGGAATTACTTCTCAGTAACCATGCTTAGCACTGTGTTATTAATAACCAAAGCTGGGATCCAAAAGTTTTTTTTAGGCGTGCCTAAAGTTTGGGTGTGTTCCTTGGAACCTTCTGCATTCAGCAACAAATCTCCTTATGTCCAAACTACTTTTAAAAGTATTCAAAAGCAGTTATGCAGCATGAATAGAAGCCTAAGTAATTCCTTGGATTCTACCATTATTTTCATTATTTTCTCAACAATCAAATGTACATCAAGTTTCTGAAACTTGAACAGGTATTTGCATTTCCATCTTGCATCCACAAAATTTAGCTAAGTCCATACCATGCAAATGGACTTCTACTCAAACCAGTTTTCCTGTGCGCACAAACTCATCCCCAGGTTTCCTCTAAGGATCCCCACCCATCTGAAACAGCTTTGGGAGGAATATAGGGGAAGGGAGAATCTGATCTGCCAGTACTGTTAATCCCAGCGGTAGATAAGCAGAACTGAATTCAATTCAAGATGACCTTTTTTGAGCCATACAGTTTTCTGAATTATGGAAACACAGAAGAATCAAGATATAAATTACACAGCCATATATTGGGTTGGATCCTGACAATACTAGCTGAACTTAATTCCAGCTGAAATGAATGGAAGTTAAACTCATTTGCAGTTTTGAAAATCAAAATCATTTATCAACTGTTTGGACTGCACAGCAATATAAAACTGCATTTCTACAGTGATAAAAATATATAGCATGCAACATGATTGTTTATAGTAGTCCCAAACAATCCTTTTTATTAAGTTTTTTTTTAAAAAAAAAACTTACTGAAATTGGAGTTTCAAATTATCCAGGTTTGTGGTAAATGATGCAGCTGTTTTTTTATTAGCGAAGTTACTGAATATTTTTCTATCTCCAAGTAACTTTGCTTGATTAAAATATTAAAGCCATATTTTCTTTTCTTTTTTTTAAATCCACTGGTAGATGTCCGTTGTCTGGTTACTCTTATTTTTTGTACCTTATTGCATTTAATTGTGGTACAATTCATAAATCTCAGAACTGTCATGAATAAAACACTAAATTAGTTTTAAAACAATTTATAACTTTATGCAAAATAGCTGTCTTTGCAAAAAAAAAGAAGTATGCAGATTATAATAAATTGTTTAATCACCTGTTCACGAAACCATTGATTATTGCTTAGAAATCATTAAAATGAACTTCAAATGAAAGGAAGGTATCAGGAGTACATTATACTTAGAAGGAAATAGATATTTGTCTCCTGCAAAATAAGATAAACAACTTCAAAATGTGAAAATAATTGTGTTGATTGAGTGTAATGATTTTGTGGCAATGACTGAAATTATACAGCAAGAACATTGTATTCATATAAATGTAAAATAGTTTTAATTTACTGCAGTGGGTATTTCAAGAATAATATTGCATTGCAGTGTGTAACCATCTTGTTGCACAGAACAAAACCGAAAAAGGACTAAAAGCTTGCAATATCAAAATCTTAAATAAAATATACTTTATAATCAATAATGCAAAAATCTAATTCACAGGGTGGTATTTTCACTGACTTTTCGAAACCTTTCTGAATTTAAACCATTCTACATTTAATGCACTTTTAATTGTCTAGTAAATATGTGACATTTTTGATAGAGGGGAGAAAGAAAGGAAGGAAGGGTGCAATGTTATCTGGCAGATGACTAACTTGTTAGGCAGCAGTTATAATGCCAGGATTCTCAGAGTAATGTTTCAAAGTTCATGGAGTTGAAGAGCACATTCCACCGGGAACTTAGCACTTGTGCAGGGGAAGTTCTTGGTGGTTGTGTCTTATTATTACTGGATGAAAAATAAAAAGCAGCCAGCACTACAGTATAAAACAGCAACATCTATGCATAATGATGCATTAATAATTAGGAGCTTGCTTCTGTATGTTTAAACCTTTTGAATAAATACAAAATTACTGTTTGGCCTTTATGTTATTGTCTTTAAGTACATAATTTTTATAAGTTGTATAAATATACACAAATTAAAATGGTGTGATCATAGCAATCTCTTGTGCTTTGGTATCGGTCAGACTAATCTGATTATGCATCTGTTTCATCAGGCAGAGATGCACTGGAATGCAATATATTATGTCCAGGATGTTGTTTTATGTCACTCTTGTGTCTCCTACACGTCTGAATTTTTGCTTTTGTAATATGCAGGCTTATGATGATGTTACTTCATTTGACTCTGCGATACTGGACATTTCTTTAAAGTGCACAAAAGGGGCAACTCACTTCTAACACGGCAGTTAAAATCCCTCACATAGAGCTAAGCCTCTTTAACTGCAGTAGAACTTCTGAGTAGACACGTAACTAACTAGAGGGCTAGTATGTTCAGTGATAGCTGTACTGATATAGCTGTGACTCATTGTGGGTGGGGGAAGATTTCTTTTCCAAACAAAACTAGATTAGCTATGTTTCTTTTTTGATATTCTGAGCATGGGTGGACATGCAAGTTGACTTTCATCCTATTCTTTGCTATTGTCATGCCCTCTGTGTGTAAAGGGCTAGTGGCAACAGAGCAGCACCACTTCTGTCTAGCTATGGAAGTGTGTCACATTAGAATCCCAGTTTTCCAGGCTTCTAAATCACATGAAGCAAAAATTGGCTGTAGAGATTTTCTCAGAGTTCTTAATTGCATGGAGTTAAAGGCTCTGAATCTTGCAGAGAACATAGGAAGAGGCAATTCTCCATTGGAGAGCAATGGTGGAGTGATATGGTAGAATATGTCTGCTCAAAAAAACCTGTTTTCTCTGATCACCAATAGAGTTTATGTTGCTATGTCTGAACAGGGCAAAAGGCTTTTGAAGTGCCTTTGAGATTCACATAACACACCAAGCCATGGCTTAACTGCAGTTTAGTGACTAAAGCATTGATGATTGGATTAACACATAAGCCAAACCAAAGAAATTGCACAATGATTTAGTACAGTATGTGAAGCAACCATAGAGAAGGACAGAGAGTCTTGTTCAAACAGATATTACAAATTTGGAACCATCAAAACTTTTTTTCTCTGCACGTTCTCCTTTTGAATTTTTGTTGTTTCAACAATGTAAATGAAAATCAGAATCACTATTCACCTTAAAAGTCTGATGAATTGCATCTTCATTGTTCTAGGACATTACCTTCCTGCCTTTTGGAAGATTTTAAATGCTTCATCACATGGCAACAGCCAAGAATGCCCTCTCCACATGTGTGGCACTTGGTATGCTAATAACATACTACTAGAAAAAAGTAGATGATTATAGAAAATTCTCTATCTCAATTTGACAAGCTAGGAACTTTCCTCTAATGACTTTTAGTAAAGTATGTATAACTGATGAGATGGAGATACATTTTAAGGACCCCAACAGTACACAAATTGTATAAGTTCTAACAATGACACAGCCACACAATTGTCTACATTAAACTGGACTGTGGGGCCCCTACAGCGTAAGTCTTTACTACATCAGCAGCAATCCTTTGGCCACTGTTCCTGGTTCTAGATCCTACGCAGGGAAAAGGTGTGATCCTGGGCCCCTCTTAGTTACCTAAGCACTACACCACCTGCAAAAGTAATAGTATTTAAGAAACATTACTCTTGAATTTTCTGCTTATGTTAATTGCTCTAGTACATTCTGTATAAAAAAGTTCTCAGATCCAGCCTTGGGACAGAGGCCTATTTCCGCTTTTGTTTCTAAATAATACTGCTTCACTGAGGTCATTGAAAAGCAGCTATTTTTTAAACTCTTGAACTGGATCTTTTCATTAGAAAGATGTAACTGAACGATACCATATTAGCAATCTAAATTATTCTACTCCAAACTTAAGGGAGAGTAGAATGCTTGTTGCCACCACAATTCTCAACTATTCCATGAAATTGTGAAAAGGTCTATAGTTTTTTATGCATCACCCCAAAGAATCTTGATTAATCAGGTTCATGCCTGCATGAAGAAAATTATGAGCATACTTTTGTGTGCTAGCTAAAGGCATCATGGGGACTCTATGTCCCTTGAGTACAATCATTATACTGGGGCTACAAAGGAGAGAGAAAGGAAGGAGCTCAGAACAGTGTGTGTGTCTCAGTTGCCCTTGTAATAGTTCAAACAACCTGATTTCCATTACATTATTCCACAGGCATCTGTGCTATTTTGGGTAACATTTCCAAACTGCTTGATGATCTCCCAAGTAGAATCACCTTAAAGCTATCTGGCACTGATTATAGCTTTAGATACAAAGAACTATATTAATGCCCCACAGTCTGGGAGAGTTCCAGTTGGACTAAAGAAGCAGCACTATGTTGGATCACAACTGTGCCATCTGGAAATAATTTGTGTACACTCAAAGGGCTGTACAGTTCTGGACAAAAGAACAGCCAATGATTGTCAGTTAAACCTAATTAAAGAAAATAATGTAAAAGTATAGTTGTGATTTGTTTTTCAAACAATTTTTAATTTGATTTTTTTAAGGTTAACAATAGTGAAGATCTTATACTCCTATGAATTTACTATTTAAAAACTAGTATTTGCCTAATTTTCTTCATTACAACATAGTTTTATTGAGCAATCCAGTAAAATGCAGGGATCATGTGATCCAAGTTTGGATTATGACGCAGAGATAAGTTTCCTACTAATGTGTGTTTGGTAGCAAGCTTTATTGAGGATGAACTGAGTGTAGCTATCATGATTGCAACCTTGAAACATGTTTGAATATCCTTTTCTTCATTGTAGGATTATGCATGTAACTGTATGGCAATCTGCATATGTCAAAAATGATTTGGAAGTAGCGCTTTAGAACCTGTACAAGCACAGCATCTTTCTACTACTGACAAAAGCAGCCATGATTTCTCAGATTTCTTTGCAAGCTGAAAAAAGATATGGCTGTTTTCATAAGTAGCAAACAGCTGTTCTACTTGCTCTAAATCACTTCTTCCAAATCACTTTTGTAACATAAATAGTCCTAATGTGCTGATTCCTGTAGCTCTGAAGAAAACTGTGATCCAATCTATCTGGGAAAAATACCATGATCTTCTTAAACAGCGCTCTGCCTTCAAGACTTGAAGGACTTGTGGTCAAGACTTAGTATAGATAGCTGCACAAAGTCATGTACATGTATCAAGGGAAATGCACACTCCAGTTTTTAATAGATTAGGTCCCGTATATGCATTATCTCAGATAGCTATGGTAGAAGGCAGTTTTAAAAGTTTAAGCAAGCAAAACATTTGAAAAGTGCTGTACAAATAAAAATACGGCTTTCATTCTGTTCATTGGCTATAGCACTTCATAAATCAGCCACCAAAGATAATTTTTTCACATCTCTCACTATAATCTCAGAATCAGCATTTTCCAACTGAGACAGTAGTTTTGGCTGAAAGTCATTAAGAACTTACTGATCATGCAAAGTAAGATCAATTGATGTACACGTTGGTAAAAACCATTATTCAAATACTTAAAATAAGTATTTCTACTGTTTCTCTTTCCTGTCCTCAAAATCCAAATACTTCCAACTATTTTTCTTTAAAAAGTGGTACATTTAAGTGATATCATGACTTAAAATGTGTGGAAATTTACATCACAAGTGAACAGTATATTAAAATATTTTTTCATATATTATTATTAACATGATTTTAAATTAGTATTTTGAAGCTTAACACAGTCATATTCACTGGAACTATGCACTGCACTGTACTGTGTATAACTTAAGATTCAAACTAGATGTTTCTAACTTTTAGAAACCCTCAAAATAGCTAGGGGGTAATTAACACTAAATTATTACAGAAAGATAAGGTTGTCTTATTTTTCATCTTCTGTATGGAAAATGTGGTAACAGAAGATTCAAGACAGTTACATGGGAAATAATTAAGTAGTCTCCCATCTATTCAATTCATTTACATTATCCTTAGGATTTAAACAGTTCCTGGTTGAACTTGGAGAAAAAAACCGAATTTCCACCAACTGATAGGAAATATAGTAAATACCCTTTCCAAAGACAGTAGAGAAAAAGTTCTCAAATCAGTAATAAGTATGATTCTTACAGTTTATATTTCATTTAATCAATGGTTCTCAGGGGATTGTACAAAAATTTTGGCCTCTCTGGTTAAATTATATTTCAATGAATCGTAAGTGAACAGAAGCTGACCCAATCTCTGCATGGTACAAAGTTATACCAACATAGCTCTGCAAATTTGAATGCACACTTACTATTTGTATGCAGTTGTTTTCATAGAGATTAAAAATAATAAAACAGTGAATACTGCAGGGCAGAACTTTCAACTAACCATCAACAAAACCTAGAAGATAATATCCAGTCATGGAAGAAACAGAAACTATGTTTAGGTTGGATATTTTAGTAAGACAATAATCTGACACATACCCTCAAATCGACTATGAAGTACTTACATGCAAAACATGCAAGTAGCCCTAAGAAAATTTCTGAGCTACAAGAACTCTACAAGGAAGAGTAATAAAGTTTCAAAATCAAGAAGAGAAACATTTAAAGATGGCTACCCCTGGAAGCTGTTTTGTCTGTTGAAGGAGATGTTACAAAGTACTGACAGAAAGAGTGTCCAAACTTCTGCACCTACCGTATTTACTGTTTTCATCTTCTTTGAATCTTAAACATTTACAAATATATAGTAAGCATGCATTCAAATTTGCAATAAGATGCTTGTTTAACCTTGTACCCTGTAGAAGTTATGTCAATTTTTGTATGCTTAGCTATTAATTGAAACATGCAGGGTTGCCTAAGCTTTTGCATGCAACAGCATATATACATTTAAGTGAAGCTACATAATTTATATAGATTTATTTTCATACTCTGGACATTTGAAAATCACATATGATTCATCCCTTCTGCAGATTTAAGTTCATCACTTTTTCCATCTGATTTATTCATTTTCAAACTAAGGGATATTCAGTTAATATAATGCATCCAGCCTGGTTAGTACTTGGATGGGAGTCCTCCAGAGGCTACCAGGACTGTAGATTACAGCAGGAAATAAAAAAGGAAACCCCATAAGGCAAGAGCAAACCATTCCCATATTGTTGTTAAGTAAGTTACATGGCTGTACTCATGAAGGCATCTGGACTTGAGCTCAACTTGAAGAACTTTACCTTTTTTAGATCAACTATAATCTTCACAATGAATTGCCCATATAAATGACATTTTCCAAGTTTTTGTCTGTAGTATTTGCAAAGGTGTTTTTCAAATCCACTTTCCAAAGTTTTATACCTCTCAAATTTAAAAATACAAAAGGAGAGTAAACATTTTTATGATCTTCTTTAACTGGTATTTGGTTAACAACTTAAACAGATCTTTGATTCAAGTTCTTACAAACACACACATGCAAACATATATATAACTCTTAGTTTTTACAAAGTATTATTTATAAAATTAAATCACCTTCTCTCTCTTCCTGCTACTCCATATAAAAGTACATGCAATTGCATTGTTCCTATTATTAAATCTTTATACATATTAAGATATTAATCTCAAATTCTTACTGATTAAAAGTATCTGAAGCCAAGAAAATCAATATACAATGCCTATCTATCTATATCCATGGATACCATGTACATCTTCCAAGCATTCAGAAGAGAACTACAGAAACTGGACATAGTTTTGCGGAATGAGTCCTCTCTTCCCATTTAGAGTTCCTTCTAACCAGCCAGGTTCTCGTGAAAAATGCACTGAACAAGAGAGAAAGAAAGAAGAAAAACTTATGTTAATTAGATTAATTAGTTTAATCCATAATTTATAAAACTTTTTCAGAATTGTTTAGCCAATATTTCACATAACAGATTAAAATCAATCTTTTGAATCTCCATTTTCCAGGAACACTAATCATAAATGTATAGTGGAGGACAGAATCATATGGTTGAAATACTGTAGGAGAGCCTTGTTAGTCTATGGTGGCAAAAAATCAGGAGGAGTCTGGCAACACATTTTCCAACTAACACATTTTATTTTATTAAAAAGCATAAGCTTTTATAACATACAGCAAACTTCATCAGATGCACACAGCAAACCTGAAACAGATTCTCACAACCAACATGGGAACCAGACCCTACAACAAACCCAGAGGTCTACTTTGCCCCCATGTCTACACCAACACCACCATCACAGGCCCAAACAAGTACACATACAAGATTAAAGGCACCTACACATGCTTTTCATCTTATGTGATATATGCCATCATCTGCAAGCAATACCCCTTCTGGATTTTATGTAGGACAAACTGGACAAATTTTCCTCAAAAGAATTAATGAACACAAGTTTGACATCAACACTTCCTGTGAGTGCCATGGCAAGCTGACATCCTGCTTGTTAGCAGGACAGCATTTATGAGGGGAATTTCTCTGGAAGAAGGAGAAATCATTGCGATTACCTATGTGACTCCAGACAGCTGCTACTTATGAGTAGACTACAGAAACTATTTTTTGCTTTATAGTCTCAAGATTTAAAAGCTTAAATAAAGGTTGTCCTCAGTTAACATCCATTTGTTCGGCGACCATTTGAAGTTATGAAGGCACTGAACGAGACTTCCAGCTGGTCTTTAAAGTTGTGGCTTTAATGGAGAAATTGTTGAGATTATCCACATGACTCCAGACAGCCGCTATTCATGAGTAGACCACAGAAACTGCCATTTTGTGGTTGGCTTATGAGTGGAGTGGCTGGGAATCAGGATTACATCAAGGTCACACTTGCAAAGCTACCTTTTACAGACATTAAGCTCAAGCAAGCTTCATTTCTTAATCACTTTTCTGGTTTGTAATGTTTACTGGAGAAATTAAAACCTTTCAGACCAGCAAGGTTTTACTGTATTCATCAGGTGAGTTTCCTCCTCCTTACAGGACGATAATATAAATTTTATTTTAAAAGTTTTGAAAATAATGTTTTGGTCTATGCAGCAAAAGGGTGCTTACTATATGGATTTTGGAAAGTTAAAAAACAATGGATTAAGGGGCCAGAAGGATTTGGAATTATAGCTTTGAATTAATTAGAAGATATTTTCTTATGAGAAAAAGGTAACTGTTTTGGCTTTTTTACGATAACGAGACCTTGACAGTTGGACACTAGAGGGAGCTAGAGGATAAAGAGTATGGAGCAGATAACAATATGGAGCAGAAATCTATATTGCAAACTTCTGAATATCTCTATTAAGCTTCTTAATAGAATGGATCAGTTGACAAGATGGACAGAGCGTGTTGTAATGAAGTTATAAAATAAGTACATCTATGAAATTACTTGGAAGGGAAACTAAAATGCAACACAAATGGAGCTGACGGATGGTTTATTTCCTAAAGAATATGTTCAGATACAAAACCAGGAAACTGATTTGGATATTTTTTTCTTACTGGATATACAAAAGAACTCTGTTAAGGTTTCGAAGGACTTTATTTCAAGTAACAAGCAAAAGGATAAACTCTACTTATTGGATATACAAAAGAAACCTGTTAACATTCTGAAAGATTTTTGCTTGAAACACAGATGACCAGCAAACTACCTCTGGGACTCTCTTTGAAGGGGTTAAAGAATATTTTTAAAAACTCTGGGAAGGAATACAAGGTCCCTCTGTTTGATCAAGGCTAAAAGAGAAAAATAGTTATATCTGGTCGTCCTTATTGGACTTTTGCTGAAAAAGAATGATAGACAAAGCATTTGGATTTTGTTTTTTTACTTAAGAGATGAGCTATGGGGAGAAGAGAGATTATGCTGTATTTAGATATGATAAGTTATTAAAATTCTCTTTACTTGCTGGGATGAAGAGGAAGTTACTTATTTTTCTTTTCTCTCTCTTCTTTTTTCTTTCCCACACCACTCCCTTATTTTTTTTCCTATTTTTCTGTTTTCATTTTTTGTATTTTATATTGGCTTTTATTCTTTTCATTTATAATTCTTAATAAAATTATTTGGGGGGGGAACCAAGTTTGACATCAGGACTCCAAACAAGGCCAAAGTAGTATCAGGCCTCAAAGTGATTGTTTTGGAAAAGTGGGTCTTTAACTCCACCACTGAACAAGAAACTGCTGAACTCACATACAGGTCGTCCCCAGTTTAAGAGTGAGTTCTGTTCCCAAATTTGTCCTTAAGTCAAATTTGTATGTAAGCTGGAACAGTATTACTGTATAATACTGTATAAGTAGTATGTGTAATGAACTCGAACCATTGTGTATTTAATTTAAATTTTGCTACAATAGGTTCCGTTCTTAACTATGGGTTGTCTGTAAACTGGGCGTTCTTAATATGGGGACTACTTGTACATCAAAAGTTTCTGGCAAACTCAGAAGGTCTCAACAAACACAATGGGTTTTAAACACATTACAATTATTAAATGATAAAGTACTTGTAATCTGTCTCATATGTCATCTGCATCTCCATAACCAACCTGTCTTCCCCTCTCTTTCTCCCCATCCTGCCTCACCTCAGTTTAAACCCTATATCAGTCTAGCCACTCTGATGCAGTGAGCTGCAGCTCATAAAAGCTTATGCATTTTAATAAAATGTGTTAGTCAAAAAAGGTACTACCAGATTCTTTATAACTGAAATACTTTAAAACAACAGGAATGTTCAGAGTCTGTAATATTTTCTGATCTTACAGATCTAAGTGGTTAGATGAAAATGAGGATGCCTAATATAAAACAGTATTCTTGCAACGTAAAATATTTTAGGATATTTTGATTTTGGAGCAATTACACTATTAGTTGAAACACCTAATGACTACAGCTGGACACTGTGTAGAACTCACTGCATCTCTGAGAGAGATTTGGAGCATGACTCAAATTTTCCAGCCCATATATTTAAGATATTAAAGCTAAGTTATTAAAAGACTTGAAAAAGACAACAATTCAAGCACTTAAAATACCCAGCAAAACTGAATTATAAATGAAATGTTTCAGAGGAAGCTATTCAGCAATTATTTCTCCCACTTTGCAAAGTGGAACAGATTCTCTTTTCAGAATTAAATATAAAAAGAATAAGGATAGCAGAAGCAGAATACAGCTGCTTAGAGAAATATAGCTGCTTAGAGAAAAGTAACTGGTTTTAGATTTGGGCATTTTCAAATGTTAGTACTGAATAAATAAAGAATAATTCTCCTTGTATGTATTTTAGAGAAAAAAATGACACATACATTATATCACGAAAGTTTCAAAATCATAAAATCAATCTTTATATGGGATGGACATTAAAGGAAACTAAAAATGCATCTGATAATGAGAGGTTTTGATTAAAACCAAAAAAACATAGAAAATACCCTTCTACAATAAAAAATTAGAGCTACTGCTAATATAACCCATTTGCCTTTTTGTCATTGCATGCTTATAAGGTATGAACACATTTTATATAATATATCATTACAATTTCATTTCAAAAAGTTCTTTTTTCTGCATCTGTGATTCTATGACACACATATGTGAACAACATCAACATGTTGCTTGTAAGTTCTATACATGAACTTGCATATAACCAAATTAGGCAGCACATAATAAGAATGTGTTCAACTCCAGCCCCTTTTTGTCCATAATATCCTTTGACTGCCTGATAAAAACAAACACAACTACTAATATGCACAAAAGGGTATTAAATTAAAAAAAAGGCAGAAAATAATAAACTTTAAAGGAAAAAAAAACTTAAAAGATTAATGCTACACTATACCCCTAGTGTATATCCCCATTGCCAAAGAGATATACTGAAAATATAAGTATTTTCTTCCCAAGTCAATGTGCCCTGATTCTCTGAAAAATAAGGGGGAAAAAAGTATTAAAAAACACTATTTTTTGCTTTATAGTCTTAAGATTTAAAATATTAATACAGGCCTTGATTAACAACCACTTGTCCAATGACCATTTGAAATTACGACGGCTTTGAACAAGACGACTTATGGCTGGTCCTTAAAGTTGTGGCTGTCACAGCATCCTATGGTCACATGATCGCCATTTGTGACTTTCACTGCTGGTTTCTAACAAGCAAAGTCAATGGGGAAGCCAGAAAGAGGCTGCAAATGGCAATCACGTGATGTCACATTTAACGACCGCACCACTTAGCGATAGAGTTCCTGGTCCCAATTACCATAGTTAACTGAAGACTATCTGTACCAAATTCCATGAATAAAGAGAAAAACCACTGCTTAAAGAAAAATTATTCATCCTTGTTTGCTCTCAGATGACCTGTCCCCTTCCACCCACTCTATTGCTGTTTCTGCTAAATTTTACATTTTGGGGGCTTTAGAAGAAAAAAAATAGAATGCCATATATTCGTGGATAAGTCAAGAATTTTAAGTGCCAGTATACGCCCCAAAAATTGGGTTTGGATTATCTGCAAATGGGATAATCTGTGAGTATATACAGTAATACTTTTTTAAGGTACCCATATATACTCAGAATCTTCCTTTATGGAAGTGGTGCCTCACGTCAATCACTAATTTAGTACTTATTTTAGGTGGCTATTATTAGCAGTATGTCAATTTGATAGATGTACTGTCAGTTTGATAATTCAAATTATCAGTAGAGCAGCAGAAATGATATATTATTTTCTTAATTCTTCATTTAAGGGCTTATTAAAGCATATGGGAATTTAGTGATAAATATTAACTGGTTTTGCGGTGTCTGAATTCTAATTACATGGGCAGATACAGTGGGGCAAAAAAGTATTTAGTCAGCCACCAATTGTGCAAGTTCTCCCACTTAAA